GGAGATAATAACATGCACAAAAACGACAGAGCAAAACCAAGCAACAAAAGAAAACAAAACAACAACAAACCAATGACAAAAAACAAAACAAAACACAAGAAAGAAAAGCTTGTAGTTAGTTCAAGGACTGTTTGTTGGCCTTTAGGAGTGTTTTCCAGTCGAGTCTGTTGTGGTGCCAAGCCCTGGCCCCAAAGTATTTTTGGTATTACCCAGGAACTTTGTTGCCCTGTTCCCCTTGCTGTTCTGTTGCACCCCCTTAGTGTTTTGCCTTGGTGTGGTGGGATCAGATTGGGCAGAATTCCCACACTGTGTCTCCAGTGTTGTCCCCTGTAGGACTATGGGTCAGTGAGGGATGTCTTGTCTCATGGTGGGGCTGGCCATGTGGTCTTCTCTGTGGATTGGCTGCTCTGAGTGAGAACATCATCCTCAAGACTTGGTGGGGCAGCATGTGCTCTACTCTCTCTTCCTCCCCCTTCATCTGCTCCCGTGTGCTCTGATCAGACACGTCCCTCTCCCTGAGCTGCAGATTCAGTGCTGTGCTCTGAAATATATTCTTCTGGTGGGAGGGGCAGGTGTCCACGTAGTTGGGATTGGGGCTGGACCCTCAGACCTCTCCAGAAGATGTGTGTGCTGATAAGCAAAAGGAACCCTTTTGTGGCTTTTTGAATAAGAGCCCATCTCTCATGTCTCATACGTGCGGATCCTTTGTCCCTTATGAGCCTTTGGAACCATCTTCCTAACTCTCCTTCGGTGGTGAGGTCCTGCAAGCTGTGGGAGGGAACCCAGTCAGGACCCAGACACAGGGTTCCAACCTTGTGTCCCGAGCGGGACCTGTGGGAGGTGGCTGAGGGCAGCAGAGCCTGAGAGACCGACACCTGGTCATTGTTTGCCACACGAGCCCTGACTAGTTCCACTCTCAGAGGTCCAGGGATGCTGGTCTGGCCTGTGCCAACCCCCCTGTTCTCTCGTGAGCCCCAGATGGTCACTGTGGTGGAAGTAGGAGACCCCAGCTCCAGGCTGGCCCGCCGAAGTTGCTGTGAAGACCAGATCAGACCCCATCCCCAGCCGTGGTTGTTCCCGGGGTCTTGAAAGGTGTGGGCCTGGCCGAGAGCACTAGGCTGCGCTCGTGTGGCTCGTGGTTGAAGCTGCTTATGGCCCCGCTGCCCTGTTCCCTCCGTCTGGAGCTTTCCATAACTGAGCAGGCAGATGACCGGCTGCGGAAACTGGTGCGGACTTCTCTGGAAGGGCCTGGAGAGGCTGGGGAGGCAGATGGACAGGCACACGTGGAGGCAGCCTTGGCTCGGGGAAGGGCTTGTGAGCGGACCTGCCCGAGGGGCCTGAGCCCATCTCGATCAGCGCAGGTCTGGGCCGGGTGAGACCGTGGGAATCCCATGGGTTGGGAAGGTTGCCAGCTCCTTGCCGCTTGGCCCCAAGGCAAGCAGAAGTTGTGCCTCCTCTGCTACCGGGGCCCCTTCCTGGAGAGTCTTCCCTGACCATTGGTCTGGCCGTTGCGCCTTGGTCAGCCAGCCCCTGGATAAGCTGCCTCAGCTCCTGCTGAAAAGCTGCTGGGAGCCCTTGCTTTCCTGGGTTGAATCCTGTCCCAGGACGGGCGACGGTGCCCTCCGTGCCCCAGCCTCAGCTTTCTCTTTGCTCCCTCGACCCCCTACTCTGCCCTTCACCCCTTTGGGCTGCCCAAAATCACTTCCCCTCTGCCTAGGGTCCTTCCTGGGGACCTGCCATCCCTGAACTCCCCCTACGGTCTGCTCCTCCCTGCTTTGCCAGCAGGACTCCCTCTACCCACTCTGTCTTCTGCACACCAGTATCTTTCTGAGAAGGTCTGTCTGTCCCCCCAGTGGGAAGGGATGCACAGGGGGCTCTTGTTCACGCAGTAGACATGGCACCGAGCACTGGGGACCAGGCAGTATTGGTTGGTTGGACCAATAGGGGTTGACGATGCGCTGACTGGTTTGGAGATGGAAGGTGAAAACACTGAGCTGCTTTAGGAGAAAGCTACAGGGAGGGCTGTGCCTCCAGACTCACCTGGCTGGTTGGGGAGCGTGGCCTGGATGGCTATACAGTGTGAGGGAGGGGTTCAGACTGCTTCAAGGGTGACAGTGGCCATAAGCTGCCTGTCCCTCGAGCGCTTTTCTCTTGGCCAGTGTTCTTCACCAGCGATAGTCTGTATAAACACCTAACTTAGCATTCCAACCACGAACACGCAGGGCAGATAGCAGTGGCCCCGTCAGGTCGCTTCTCCCGGTTCTCCCGGGCCGGATGTATCGCTCCCGATGGCTTTCGGTGGCGTTGGAAATTGCCACCCCCATCCTTGAAGAGTAGTGTGGGGACAAACTGTCCTCTTGGTCAGCAGCCAGCTCCTGGGGGACCCCTTCGCGTGATTCCTCAGCAATGTGCTCACATCAGGACCCTCAGAGCACCCTGTCCCGTGAAGTGGCGCTTTCTGAATTCACAGGACGTTTGCAGTAGGCTTGCTGAGTTGTAAGGAAAAATGGCTTTTGTTTACCTCTAAGCCTGAAGACCATCCGTCTCTGTCCAGCCATCCCATCTCCCGCAGCCTCCCCCCGTTCGGACTCACAGAGCTGGCTAAACTCGAGCTTGCTCCATTAAATAAAGGACTGTGGGTTCTCTGCTGGCTGCTTCTCAGCTTGTCTGGGTGGATGGGAAGACCCCGCAGGAAGTTCTGTCCCCTCTCTGAGAGCCAGTCAGCAGCAAACCTTATGCTTCCCTTGCCCCTAGTGGAGTGCTGTGGCGTCCACTGCTGCAGAGTGAAACCAGGCCACGCAGAGCCACCCTGTAGGACACAGCGGGCCTGCCCCCTGGCTTTCCCGGGCTCTTGGGTTTGAACTGCCAACCGTGCCATTAGCAGCCCAGCACTTAGCCACTGTTCCACAAGGGCTTCTTGTTCAAAAGGTCGAGCCTGGGAATTCTCCTTCAAATATACCCCAAAGCCCAAAATGCAGGGCCCCAGAGAGTCCCTTCCCACCATGCCCATGCATTTAGCCTTCAGTACCTGAGAGGCAGGAGGTTGGGCGGCCTTCCAGCCATGCCACAGCCTGCAGTCTGAAGCTCCACGTGACCAGTAGTGGGGGGCCTCACAACGCCAAAGCCACTCCGTCCAGTTGATTGCAACACGGAGCTCCCCTGTGTAGCATTTCTGAGACTAACCTTTGGGTGTTTTGTTTTTCAATTTAAGCAAACCTTATTGTCCAGCAGATAAGTATCCAAACATGTTCTCCGTGGTTGTGAAATGAGGTTACCAGTGTCAAATAAAAGATGTGCTTGTGGTACACCCCCCTTGAAGCATGGAAGCATTCTTAAAATCCCCCCGGCAAAGGCCTTGAACAGCTACACCTGTAGGATGTCGTTTGGGGTCCACCTGTAGTTGTCATCCTAGCGGTGTCTCCAGAGCCATTCTTCCTGACACATTTGTGATGGCCTTTATGTATCATCAACGCTCAGCATCAGGAAGAGGCCGGCCTCGGGGCCCACGGGCTCTACCTGCAACACACAGCCGCATGGCGGAGGCTGTGCAATGTGCCGAAAAGCTCAGAGACTAAATCTGAATGGGCACAGACAGCCTCGG